GGGCTGTCGTGGAACGTTCCTTTGGCGTGTACACAATACAGTTCTCTTGCTTCTACAGTGTACAAAGTGCCCAAGAAATTGAGGCTGATCTGGGAGGATCACAGACAAGTGTTCGCAAGAGAATATGGACGTAGAATGGATCTGAGCTGTCATGTAGGTATAGTATGGTATACTTGAAAAAGCTTTACAACAGGTAATCAGGTAAAATTACCCTAGCGATAGCCACCAGCGCATAATGATCCCTTTTAATCCTCTCTACAATCAATAATATTCAAAATTTCCTTTTCAATTTTCCACCTACACATTATGTTCACAAACTCATACCTGAATATGTACATTGACATTCATTTTCGTAGCCCAGTACTTCATCCATGATGTGCAGCGCTCCTGCTGTATCGTTGGCGCTACCATGAAGTAACTGTAACGGAGCAGTCTTATCAGACAAGCGAATGAGTAGTACAAAAGAAAGGTACCACATGAACAATCACAGTCACAACACTGTTAAAGGATTCACCTCGTTTCAGAAAGCCTACTCAACGTGCAGTCGGTCACATAACCACCTCGTTCGTGTTGCATACCTGAGTATATTGTGGTACCAATATCTCTATCGATGTTTGCCGAGCAGAGATACTGCAGAAAACGCACCACATCGGGTCCCTTGAATAGAAAGCAAGAGACACTATATCGCAGTAGAGAACGAATAGGGGTTCCTTATAAATCTTACCGTTATGTCAAACTTGGCAAAGCTACTCATATCAATCAATCCTACTCGTTCTCGACATGCCTCATATTCCGTTGCGACTCTGGAGAAACTACTGCGTATGACAAGTGAAAAGAGGAAATAAATTTGGCATACATACTCATCAAACCAGATAGGCTTTCCAATTAGTGAATCCTTGACCCCAGAACAGAGCACTACGATCAGATTTAGGCTTCTTGTCATACCAAAGAGGTCGTTCGTAGCTAAAAGTTCTTGGTTTTAGGAATCTTGTACGTACAATTACGATCACACGGAAAGGATGTGGGTCAGTAAAGGAAGGCGACAAGAAAATATTCAATTTACGTATCAGGAAGAGGCTCAATAGGATATGTTCACTCAATTGAAAAATTGTTAAGAAAGTGAGCATTTATAGGAAGGCTGCTTCCAATGTTGCGACCATTACGATAAATTATGAAGTAGGAGAAAAATTAAAATTACCCCATAATTTCACCGAACACCGCGCCAGCGTCCCTCAGTTGATGGTAGATGGGTGACATGCGAATATTACGAGCAGTGTGACATTGATGTGAGTTGTACATGTTGCTGTACGTCATCGCTAAACACATTATTAAAAGCTATCAAGAAGCGCGTACAGTCTCAATTGAACATGTAGAGCATGCTAAATTAGGGACACATTCCCCACATGGACGCTGTGCGTCTTTCTAGGAAAACTCCCTCTCGAGATGGCCGGGGACTCATCAGTGAGAAAAGTGCAGTACAACTGGTCCCACTCATACGTCAACGTGGAACGTGTCAGATACAATATTCGAAATTTTCTTTATCAAACCTACATGCAACTTCCGGAACTCGTTCCATCAGGTATTGTGCATTGGCGTGAGAATCGAGAAATCGTGCAACATCCAAATTTGCAACGTCAAGTTTCGGCATTCCGTCACAGATCCAATCGGCGAGCATCTCACCAGTTCCTCCAGCCAATGAGAGACCTTGTCCATTGAAACCATTTATTACATAGTAACCTTGTGCCTAAAAGCGCAACCTGGAGAAACTCTTCAGATCCATGAAAGATACCCACAAATGTTTGTGCACACCTGAGTACTATGACCAACGGTCGGAGCCTTGTCGGGAGTGTAGGATTCCATGCCGCAAATCAAGTCTCCGTGCTCAATTTCTCCGAGCGTAGGGCAGCGAAACAGCAACTTTTCCAAAGCCGAGCCTGAAAGAGTTACTAGTGAAAATAAAATTGAGAAGCAAGAATGAAACACCAACTGAATAGATCCCAGTCAGGTTCTGGGTGATGCCAGACACCATGTGTAGCACCTTGTCGAGCCAATGGTCGAATTCCTTCTTCCAAGAATCCCGCACACAGCGTTTTAAAGCCAGTGGCGCGGATCATAATCTTACCATCCAGATCGTTGAAAACTGCAAAATACGGTGAGCTTCAGATCTTTTACTTGCCATGCCCTTTTCGGAAAAGGCAGCTATTTCCATACCGTAGGAGCAGCAATCTCATACGTGCCATTCAATTCTTCAATTTTGTCCAAAACTGAAGCAAGAACACTGAAAACTCACTAGGTGTTGTATCAGAAACACTTCCAGTAGGCAGTTTTGTACTATGGATGTAACTATAAGTGCAAGGGTATGCAGCCGTTCGAACGTGGCGATACGGTAGCGTCTTAACCAGAGTGGTTCCAGTCCACTGAAAAATTGTATGTTCAAAAGGAAAGATTCGATTCAGGCTGTAAACAACTCACAATTCCGCTAGCATCGACAAATATCGGGGTTTCAACAACTCCATTTCCAGTATTGACAGCGTATACCTGACGTTCATCTCCGAGGAAGAACTTCCTCTACGGCG